AGCTTATGCATTATTAAAACCTGCCATAACATAAAGCTTAGCAGTTCATGTTATAGTAACTGAACAGCTGCCAAAAAGAGATTTAAACTGGCAACTGAATTGGATTATGTTCAATATTGCAACTGGGCTTTTTAAATTTGCTGTCTAAGTCATCCAGCTGTTAGAAGAACTAAAACCTATGAGTCTGAACTACTACTCAAAAATATTGCAACATTTACAGTAATTGCCAAAGTTTGCAGTATTTATAGAGATCATATAGCAGATTTATAAATACTAAGAAACATAGTGAGCTGATAAATGATTTCAAATACTTAAACAAAATAAATTACTGAAAGTGCATTTTGCTGGTATTGAGACTGGATCTTGCACTGGGAAAAAAGGACTTGGATTTCAAATACCATTGAAAACAAAGTGAGGAATTACCTATCTTCAAGCAGAAAAGTCAGGCACCAGCAACTACTCTTAATCACCCTGACAAGACACTGCTCAGATTCAGGAAAAAGTAACTATCCCAGCCACTTACACTTTCTGCATACAGAATACTGCAGGGCTTGAGTAAACAAATACTCTGCAGACCCTGCCTGAGAATAAAGGGCTCCTGTCTGACTTTGCACAGATACACAACATGAAATCAAGGAAAGGCTGCCTACCCATAGCCAGAACCTTCAAGAGATGTCGTTGGTATGAGAACTTGCATTGCAGGCATGCACTGCACTCTCATTTGAGATTGAAGAATTTATTTTCCTTTGAAGCATCCTCCATTGAGCAAGCAGACATGGAACAAGAAGATATGAAGTCTTTGTAACCAGAAGAGTCAATTAACTTGTGCAACCTAACCATTACCACCCTTCCTTCCTGTTCCTCACTTTAATCTAAAATCACATTATGGGTGAATTAAGGAATTATTTCTTCCCACCCCAAATTACATGTCAGAGGGTCTGCAAGCCCTTTGTGCAAACTGACACTCAAATTGCTCTACCAAATGCTACATAAACTGTTAAGACCTAAAGTATTGCACATCATCCACGACAGTATGGACAGAGCTGCAAGAAGCAACACCTTAGAGCAGATCTACTTCCCCAGTGGTGACAACAAAAATGCATCAGCTGCTAGAACATAACCCAGTCAGTTCAGGAAAATATGAAATGATAACTGAACCCTGCAGAGTTATCAATGGGTCAGAGTTATCAATGTTAAAGAAGTCAGAGTTCTGGTAACAGGGTGACCTTTTTAGCTGATGCTATGAACAGTTGTTAGATCTATTATGGATCCATAAAAACCCCAAGCATCTGGAAGGTTGTTCTGAAGACCAACTAGTATCTCATCTCAGAAAGAGAAGAAAATTTGGACTGAAAAAAGAAATAATTGCTTAAATTCATAGCAAGTAATTTATGAGTCAATAACACAATAACAAAAAAAAAATCTCCTCAGTTCATGCAGTTATTTAATCCCCCAGTCCTTCACTCTAGAAGTCATAACCTTTTGGATGCAGCAGTTACTGCTACAAGAGGAGCTGTGTGAATACAGAGGGAACCCACAAATTAGTATTTTCTATCTGCTTCTATGCATTCTCACAGCTGCAGCCAGAAACTTTTGCTGCAGCCCAGAATATTCCAACAGCCTCACAAATGGATAGAAAGAGTTGAGCATCAGCTACTGTGACAATTCTACCATCACAGAGGTGGCAATACAAGACCTCTGCTTCAAGAGATCTTGGGAAGCCCATTCATCTTGCAAAGAAGAAGGCTGATGTTGAAACAATCTGTCACAGTATTTTCTCAGGAAGGTTTGGTTCCAGAAACTCCTAAACCAGAGTGTCTCTGCCCCTTAGGCTCATGATAACTGAGGCTCCCAAGCACCAGCCTGGGTTAGGTGCAGCACCAGCTGGTGCAGGGTAGTTCAAGAAGAGCCAAAATGCTGAGATGAAAAGATTTGTCACATCCAACTTGCGACAAATGCTGGCACTAAGTGATTTTGAAGCTGCTTGTGTTGAGAAGGATGACAAGAAAAAAAAAAGAAAAGCACAGTTGAAGCAGCTATGATCTGCTTTGATTAGCTGTTTGTGGCCTAAGAATTTGAGGGAAGCCACTGGGACATCCACTGTGCAGGTGCTGGAGATGACACTTCCAGAGTTATGAGCAGTGGAGGAGCTGAAATAGTTCCAGCATCCAGAAAGAGCTGATAGGACACACAAACAGAGGTGATTGTGTCAGCAATGAGGTGTGAACTTAGTTCATCTGGCAAGGCTGTGCAGGATTCTTAAAGCAACATTCAACTAAACACTTTAATCCAACAGGAAATGATGACTTTTCCAGGAAAAAAAAATAAAATCTGGACACCTTTCCAGAAAGTATGCTTCAAATCAAGCCATTATTAGTGCATAGCTCTTGCAGGCTCAGCCACTTGGTACTGGTGAGCCAACATTCAGGCAGTCTGACCTGAGGGTGAGTGGCCAGCTGCAGAACCCAGTCTTGCCTAAACAGGGAGCAAACAAAGCCCTGGTGCAAGGGTACTTCCAAAGCAGTGCTTGGAGAGCTCGTGCTGTAGAAGCCAGAAGCACCAGCAGGTCACACTGTACAAACCACTTCAAGTCTCTGATTCCACTTTTCTGTCCCACTCCTCTTTTAAGGAGTTGCTGACAGATAACTGTGCTCTATGTCTTGAGCACACCAGTGTCTGCAGGTGAGCTGCACCTACCCTGTGTTTGCCTTGTAAGAAGGACATCCTGCACCTCCACAGTTTGCAGCTGGTGTTCAGAACCACCATTTGTTAGTTCCTATTATGAATTGCACTAACCTCCCATGCCTAAAGAATCACACTAAGATAGTAAAGCAGGCTCCTTTTCTCTTTATATGATTCTAATATTAGTCTAGTAAAAAACTGAACCAGTTCAAAATCAGGCACTGTGACAACCCCTCAGTTTAAGAACAAAACTCAAGTCCTAGACTGAGGAAAGAAATAAAACCTGAAGGTCTTCACCACCCCAGAAAAACAGGAAAGCAAATATTTCCTTACAAGCTGCTGCCTAATCATTTTGCTATGGTCCTCATAAACAAGTGATATTTTATACTTTTATGAACTCTTATCCCATTATTCTTTCATGGCAAGCACTCAAAATTAACTGTAGCAAAACAGTCACTCTATTAAAGAACAGAGATTTTTTTTTCACTTGCAATACATTGTGTTCTATTTCAAGCCCGGTTTTCCATCTATAACTTAGTCCTAGTTGTAGCAGAACAAAATTCCAGCTTTTATGACAGAAGACTTTTTTTGATCAATAGAAGTCAGCAGCAAAAGCGTTTGTGGTTTTTCTCTGGAAAGCATTTGTGGCCACAGACTCAAAGAAGGAAGAAAGGGAGGGGGATTAACTCTTCAGTGAAGGTCAAAAACATAATTTAAAAGTGATCCAAGAAGAGCAGATGTGCCTGTCAGCACAATCAGTATTACCAGCTGGAGAATTTACCAGCAGTATGAAAACAATGCACACCAGATGTCAAATGTTGCAACTGTGAGTAGGAAAGCAACTCTGGGCATGGCACTGTCATGTTAATACTCATTGCCAGACAGATTTCATATTTAGCATTTATTTATTAATTAGACACTACCAGGAAGAAACAATAACATTTTGAGCTTCAGAGTGTAAGTCAGAGGCAGGTGTGCACACTGGAAACATTTAACATCCTTTATTCCCAGTTATTCTTTCACTGCAAACACAAGACAACAATTTTAAAGCTAACTAGCAAATACTAGAACATCTGTGGCTGAACTTGCTTTAGTTCCACTCAGTTCAATCTGAGCTTTTAACTTCAGTTTGGACTTTTTTTCAACTAAATCTGAAACAAATATTAAGAAAAGTAGTAAAACCACATTCTCATCCATGTATAGCTATCTGGAAAGAATTGCACCTAAGTTATTCAAAAGTGAAGAAAATACTTCACTTACACCTCTATCAGCACTTCCTTCATCAGCTGCTTGTTATCTTCCTTGTCTTTCTGGGGCATTCTTGTCTTTATTTTCTCACACATTTTACATCTTAAAGATGAACTTATCCCTTCCAGTGCTTGAAACAGTGTTATACCAGTTTTGCTGTGTAAAATATCTGATGTTGCTTTTCTTCTTTATATAGGTGTATATATATAAATGTATGTATATATATATACATATAAATGTATGTATATACATATACATATATATGTATGTATATATATTTATATATACACAGATATATATTTATATGTATTTTTATATATATATATATGTGGTTTGGTTTTTTTTTCTTGTGTCACATCCCTCTTTGCATGAATGTCTACAGAAACCATTACAGTCTCTGCTTGCAGCTTCTCCCATGTTAATTCCTGTTCTCCAAACATCTCTCCTAAATGCTCCAGTTGCTACACTACCCTTTTTCTCCCTTCCATGCTCTTTTCCTAAGAATGGATGGCTCATCCACTTAGTTAATCCCTACTGCTTGATCATGATGTGACAGAATTTTCCAGTTTTCACTGTTAAATTCAAATTAAATGTAATATTTCTCTCATTAAAAATCAAGTACAAGGCCCCAAGAAACTGAAAACATGGATGGTAATGTTGGAATTATTTATCACAGAGGGTATTCTAGGAACTTGTTTGAAGTTTGTTTTATATCTTCCTTGATGGTGTAATTGCTTTATCCAAAGAAAGAGATGCCCACAGAAAAATATGGTACCAGCATAACTGAATCAAGATGAATAAAGTTATTTGAGTACAGAGGGAATGGACATGTGTTTGTGGCACCTTAATCTGACATGGAACATATGTTAGTATAGGGTTGTTAACTGCTGCAATTAAAAAAAGAAATTAGAAATGCCTAATCAATTGACACATTTAACTGCTTATGCAACCATTACTTCCTCTGTTCTCTTAGAGAAAGAAATTTCTTATATCTTTCATTATCATTAATTCAAATTCTCTTAGCTTCTGCAGTCATCCAACTGTATTACAGCCTACTCCTCATGGCTTACCTTAGCTTTGCCATCCTGTGCAGACATGTATCCAACACACATGCTCTCTGTTGTATGGCTCCACAGAAATTCCACTAGAAAGGAAAATGCAAGAAGTTACAAAAAGGTCTTGGTTTAAAATACGAGATGCAATTTAACAAGACTGCGTCTTGAGGAACAAATATAGCAAGGGTAAAAACCAAAAACTACTTACCAGAGCAATTAAATCTCAAAAGAAACAGCTATCAAACAAACAAGATTTTCCTGAATATTCACAGTCACACACTGCAGAACTATGAACCACTATGAGAATGTTACTTCAATGATATGGAGCCTCCAAGATGAGAAATGCATCAACTCCACCTGCAGTTAAAAACTGCACCAACTTCTAAAGCAGTGGACTTTTCCACCCATCATAAAAAGCTGACAGAACTTGTATTTGCCTGCCTTGAACCCAGCCAAAAGCATAAAGCCAAGTGACCTAGTATCAACAGGTAAAGGGGGATTTGTGGCTCAGCTGTTAGCCTGTATCCCAAGCAGGACACAGGCAAACATGCAGAAATAGTCAAATCTGCAATATGGGAATTGAAGATCTAGATCAGGCAGGAAGGACATCTGGTAAAAGCAAACTTATCCTGCAGAAAAAGGAGGAGAGATGTATGATGGAAACAGAGTAACATGCACAATAAGAAAGATTTCTGGCAAAATTAGAGGAAGTCTTGGATTCAGAAGTATGCTGAATTACAAGAGCAGATGCAAACACCCCCTTTCTTTGTGGAGAGTGTAAGGAGCACTAAAGGTGAGAGAGGAAAGAAAGATGAAGAAACCCCTAGCAAAGCACTCCCAGGTCTGATTACCTGGACTTCCAGCACCAGATAAACAACATCAGCTCTCTGGTACTGCACTCACAGCTAATTTAGGAAATCAGGGTTAGATACCCTAAAGCACTGCCATGCTTGCAGGGATAATGATTAAGAAAACTAATCACTGCTCACAAGTATTGTTAATGTCTGGTAATCCAGTAAGGTGCTGTGTAGCAGTCTGAATTGCTGCTAGCCTAGTCCAGGGTAAAGAAGCAAAAAGGACCTGTCCTGAAGTCTGAAAGTGCTCAGATTTATCAGCTGTTTAACAGCCTGTTCCAGTAATCTTTAATTGCCTGATACATATGCAGGTATCTTTATGTACACAAACACACTCCTACTCAGCTGCAACACAAAATTCAGACAGCACATTATTCAAATGTTCAGCTCTCTCCCAGTGGAGCTTTATAAATTGCCACACTCTTTTCTTCCTGCTCTCTGTCATGGTCATTTTCCTTTGTATTCATGAAGTCCATAATTTGGAAGGGGGGAAAGAAAAAAAATAGCTGATCAGAATTTAAGGCATTTCACAGAATTTTGTAAAAGACTTTAACAAAATGCACTGAGGCACAAATTCTTTCTCTGGATTATGGGAGGTGTCTCACATGAATTACACAAGATGCCTTGAACAGACATTTCCACAGATTTCTTTTTCACATACTGCAAAAAAGGCATCCCTGGATGGGTTTAAAACCTTTCCTCATGTTCCTTTAGGATGAAGGTCACAGCCTGCTGAGCACACTTATCCTTTGAACCACATCTCCTTGCATAGCAATTAAACCAGAGCAGGAGATCAAATGTTAGATGATCCCAGCAAGACTTGAAGATTCTGACAGATGTGCAGATATCATCATAAAAGAAAAAGGAACTTGATGGAGGTGTGTGCTCTGCTCCCCCAGAACAGATTTGTGACTGATACCACCAAAGGTGAATCAAAAGCTTCCACAGAGTGAAACATATCCAGCACAATCAGGGTGTGTTGGAGGGGCCCAACCTCTCCATGGCACCCCAAAGGCTCCACTCCCAGTGAAAGCATTTTTTTTAAGACAAATTTAAAATTTGTCTTTAAATGTAATTCATTTCAATTTAATTAATTTTAATTTAATTTAATATAAATTTAATTTATTTTTAATTTAATTCCCATCTTTCCATTTTGAGAAGTTGGGAAACAGTTTAGAACAAATACCCTCAAAGTATTATATATTTGCCTTTGAAAACTACCAAAAGTAGCCTGTACTAGCACAAACCTTAGTTATTGTTAGCCATTAAAGGCAGTGAACTATAAAGAAAATTCTAAATTACATGTGAAATATCTTCAGATAAGTATATTTTCAACCATTTCACAAGTCACTTCCTTGCCATTTGTTTCAATATTAGAAAGAAAAAAAGATGATCACTGTAACAAAGACATGAGTGCTCTTTATTCTATACATGAAGTTTTTCAGTATTAACCAAGCTATTTTCAGTCCAAATGAAACAAATACTACATATGTTTAATTGTGTATTATCTCTGCATTCATTATAAGGTAGGAAATTTCCATGGTCCAGAAAAAGTACTGTGTTACAATTAATCTCTGTTAGTTCAGTGGAAAGAAAACCAAAAATCAATGGACAAATAGTCTTTACTTTTGATGTACAATATATGGGGATTTTATAGATTAATTTTTGAGGGGAAAATGCCAAATCTTCATTAATAGAATGTGTTCTCTTACATGAATGAGAACCATTACATGAATATAAAAAATTCTCTCACTTCCAAATCTCAGGAATTGAAGGTTACATTGATCTTGTTTGTTCTTACTTAATCAGACTTGTGTTTTCATTTTCTTAACTCTTCTTTTAAGGATAGAATTTATGTTGCAGGATGCTGTTGCACTAGATAATGTCACAAATGGGTAAATAATAATAAAGCAGAGTATTATATAAAGGAAAAACACTTTAACTCTGGTAACTTAGGTCAATGTGACCCAATAAATATGCACATAGCTGCACATCTGAGGAAAGGAGATGGCATAAGTGTCATCCTGAAGTAATTCATATGCCCCCAATCCCAAATTCCTTCCCTTAGAGAGACCTTAATGTCTCAGGGTTGTATTTCCACCCTGTTCTGCTCATATCTACAGCCTTCAGTTCCCATCTGTTCCTCCCACACAAACCACAGGACAGTTTTCCATAATACACTTTTCTGCCATAAAGCAGCAAGAGAGGGATTGTGCTTCCAGGACAGAAACAGGGATGCAAAGCCCTTTTGGAGCCAGACAGCTACTGGGAGAGGCAAAGTCCAGGTGATTTCAGTATGAGCAGCAGAAAGTTCTGTTTGGTGCAAATGCAAATAGTAACTGTGACTTATCTAAACTGATTTTCCTGGCAATTACCAAGAATAAACAACCATAAACAACTTTCCTCACAAATTTTCAGTGCATTCTCCAAATTCACACATTTTCTTAAACAAAAAGGAGGATTAAAAGAACTTTTTAGAAAGCATTTTTCAAAAATAAGCTACTTAGAAGCAGCAAACAGCTACATGCATTACTCCCAGCTCTAAATGCAATTTTTCCTATGAGGAACACATCCCACCTCGCCACAAGCAACTATTGTATCTATGCCATAGGTTTAGAAGGATCCCACACAATCCTCTGAATGGCAATTCTGCTTAGAAATAATGAGTCAGAAAGCATGCTCTTTTCTGGAATTTTGTTAATATTAGTCTTGTTTGTTCCCTATTTCACCTTCTAGATTTTTCTTATTTCAATGCCAATTCCATTCTGTTTTCTCTGTGGCTTTCAAACACGCACAGAGATTTCATTTCAGCCTTCATTTTAAATTAAAATGAGGAAGAATTCCTTACCTAGTAAAGTTGGCTTTTCCTGTGAGGATTCAGGCTCTGCTGAACACCTGCAGGAGCGGAGAACAATCACACCTCCCAGTACACCATCTTCATTGGCTAGGAAAGGTGAACCTGGACAAAATCATTGGGGAGAATTACTTGCAATAGGAATACTTTCTTGGGCATTTTTTTTTTTAATTTGACTTTCTGCCTTTTCCCTTTAATCTTGTCACTAAGGGTTGAAAAGACTGACAGATCAAACAGTGCTTTTACAAAAGCATGGGTTCTCTTTTTCCTAGTGTTTCAAAGGAATAATTTTCTGGAATGTTAATCTACTAATTCACCAGCAATCAAAAAAAATTAAGAGCTACATGGAATAAAACAAAAACATTAAAAATTATATTTATGAGTGCAAACCTCAAATGTAATTTGGATGGATCAAGGAAAATAAAATAATGAAAAACAAAGTGTCAAGTTGAAAAAAAGTTGTGACTCAATATTTAGCTCTTTCTGTTCTATAGATTATATAAAGACATACCTAAAAAATCAAGCAAATTTAGGTCATTTTTACAGTTTATTCATTTTTGCCAATTTGAAGTCCTTTGTACAGAGGCATCATGCAGCTGCTGTACTGTTTGCCTTGCTGTTTGATGAATATTAACAGAAAAGCCTGAGCACATCCTTTTTACAGTGGCTCCTGTCTTGTTAATTTAAGACAGGATACAAAAGTCTTCTATCAGAAGCTGGAAAAGCTTTAAAGATAGCTGAACCAAGCCTAGTATTTTTTCTCTGGTATGCAATTTGAAATAAGATTCCTATTGCTTTAAATGTGGAAACAATGGTATAATTCATGTACAGTTTAAAATGTCTTAAGCCACAAAATTAATGAAGTTCTTGCTTCATTAATTAGGCCCCATCCTGGTTACACATCTGCACTATAGTGTCATTTAAAATTGAACATACAATTGCAACAGCCATTTAATGTAATTCTTTTCAATTCTTTCTTTTAAATAAATTAGTGTACAGGCACTGTAATTTGCCAGCCACTAGAACTTTAGAGCAGAGCCATTCATTAGCCTCCTTTAACTTGCCGACAACTATTTGTATGACTAAAATTTCTCCTTTAATGCAAATAACAACAAAACTGCCCAATAAAAAACAACTTAGAGCATTACCATAAGGAAAACTAAAAGCTTTATTGTGTTTTCTCTAAACATTAGAGCAGCCACCTTGAAAAATGATGCAAGGTGGCCACTGTAATAGAAGCCCACATTGCAGGAAAATAATAAATGCAGTGTGCTTAATAAACAGTAGTATCTTAGTTAATCTAATGCAAACAGATTATTATCTTTAAAGTGCCACTTGCTTTGTGAAAGAACTGTTACTAGTTACACCTAGTAATACACCTCCTGTATTACTCACTGACTGTGACCAAGTCCTTGTGAAACAAGAATCCAGCCCATGATAAGGTAGTAGATAAAACAGGAAAATATGTTTGGTTAAAATAGAAACACAAAGCTTGGAAAGTTGTGAAGAGTTTTACCACCCAAGTCAAAATGAGGCACTTCAAAGACAATGCCCCTACCTGAACTTGGTCTGCAGACCTAATCTTACACTAAACTGCACAAATGATTTAGGCTCTAAGCCACGGTGAAAAGTCCAAGCTCTCTAAGTTGTGGTGAAAAGTCATTGCAAAGAGACAGAAAAAGCTCAGTTTTTTTTTTAATAAGCAGTTTCTCCTTCCCTTTCAAGAACTGTGAAAGATTCTTCCGAGGTTCTAGTGAAAAATATTAATTATTTCTTTAATTAGAATGGTTAAGAATGTTCTAATTCATCAGAAGACAGCCAAACAGCATTCACAGCAGACAGTGTGTTCAAGGGCACAGTAAAACACTGGGACTGTATGAGTGCACATAATACCAGACAGCAACTACTGATTATAGTTTATAGAGTTGGTTCCACTGAAGTCTTGTTCTAGAAATGCTTCCATTAGTTTAATCACTTATTTTAGGGATTTTATTTCTCCCACACTCTGAAAAAAAGAGATGAAAGGGAAGTCTGTAAATAAGCTAATTATATATTTCATCATTTTCCCAGTATTTTTGTCAAATGTGCCATCATGACTGACTGAACTGTCAGCAATCTGAGTAACTTTTACATGGTCTTTTGAAATTTCACAAGGCTTAGCAGTATATTTCTATCATTGTAGAGGCTCTGCAGCAGAACAGTAACACTGCATTTCCATCAAAAAAAATTCCATTTTTACAGGGATTTCTTTGCAAGAACAAAATATTCATCTTATTCAGTGAAATATTCATCTTATTCATATTCAGTGAAACACAGAATAGAAGAAAAACAATCACTCAAAGCAAGTGGTTTTTTTTGAAAAGGGGTGTAAATAAGTAATTTTAAATTTGAGCTTCAAGCACATAAGACAAAGTCTTCAGCTTACAACTTCATCCAAAAAGATGCTCAACCTCTAGATGAACAACTGAGAGCCCCAATTCTGTCAGCATAAATGGCATTTATTTATTGACATTAAACATGGTGTCTATTACACTGCCCTAAGTACGTACACAATTGTTTTCTGAACAAATTACTTCCTTCAATGATTATGCACCATGGAGGCTTTATTAGCAGTTCACAAAACTCAAAGGCTTTGAAGACCATTCAAAAGTTGGAAAACTGACTGTGTTAATTCAGCCTTTGCTGAAGTACACTGCCACCCTACTGCAACTGGAAAACTCCAGAAGAGGATTAACTTAACAGCAGTGCACCTGATAAAAGTGTGATAAAAGTCTTAATTTCAGCACCCATAAAACACAACAGATGGGCAAGACACTGACTTCTTCAAGAATGACACAGGTTGGGCCTTTGGACTAAGAAGAAATGTTGGTTATGCCACATGGAACCAGGTCACACTGCACTAACTTTGTAACAGTTCTACTGGTGTGAGATGAATAAAATTCCTTAAAGTGACTTTTAGCAGGTAATTTGAATGAAACATTGAACCAAGTGTCCTTAAAAAATTGTGTTATGCAAACAAAGCAAGGATGATGGGAGACATTATCCCTCCTACACACAACAACATAGCCTTGCTTGCCCTTTTGATCTTCTGCACCATTTCACCATCACCTGCAGAATGAGCATTATTCTGGCATGGTGGGAGAAGTCTGAAAAAGAACATCCCTCTTGTCTCCATCTCCAAACACAAGCAGCAAATGACAACACAGTCACTTGCACTACTATCCTGCAAAGATTCATGATCTTCCCACCCACGGCCACCCTGCCTCCCTGTTGCTGGTGAAGGCCTCCATTCCCAGACACATCAGAAGCAAATTGAGCGACTCCACCCTCTCCCATCCCAGATGCCTTCAGCAGCAAGTTCAGCTAAATCATCTCAGTGGAAAATCAGCAACAATACAGTTTATGTCCCCAATTCACTGCCTAAGTTGTGGAGAATCAACCTCTAAGAAGTGTCAAAAACGAGTTGCCTACACTAATAATATTACAATATTCTATGTTACAGTAAATTCAAGCTGTTTCTCTGCTCTTAAAAATCAGACCCTAAGCCAAATTAAATATATGCTGAAAAGCATATTGTTTAAAAGTTACTTATTTTTCAATTCAAGTAATTTTTCAAAAATGTTAAAAGAGGGATTCAAATATAATACTTTTTTTAAACAAGAATCTTTCTAGATATGTGGACCTACTGATGATAATTATAATTATGCTAAAGAGTATATTTTAACAAACTAGACAGTGCAAGTGAGTGGGTCTACAGTAAGCAAAATTCCAGACAGCTGAATGCTATGCACTCATCACTGAATCTGTAAAAATAATGGTACAAATGCAGTATTATACTTTATTTCTAAAGAGAATCCATGTATCATGCACACAAGTTAATTTGACTGTTCTCAAAACACTGTGAATTCAAAGGTTAGGAACACATTTCATTAATTTAGTTCTAAAGTCATTTTGTTACAGCCAACACATTGAGAAAAAGAACAACAGAGCAGACTTTTGTAAAAAATAACAATATAGGTAATGACTTTTTTCTATACACATTTAATTAGTATTTCAAGAGGAGGAGAAAAAGTGGAACTAAAATACTGCCATGTATATTAAAGGCAGAATGGTTTCTCATTAGAAAGAAAAAGTGATCTGGCTCCCACCTCCTACACCATTTTTGCTCTCTCTGTACTTTTCAGAAAAATAGGTTTTTCTGTACAAATTCAAAATTTAGTTAAAACATGCCTAATACCCAAAAATACTGTTTTCCACTGCAATAAAACAGAATTGCTGGATAAATGTTTGATCTAATAACTTGCTAATGACAAAATTACAAAAACCTGGGACTTTAAATACCATTTTAAGTCTCATGAAGCCCAGTGTTCCTTTCCCAGTTACACTGGCAGGACCACTGAGCAATGTGGGATGAAAGATCCAAAGTAAAATTCCAACTGCAGCATTAACTAATAATGTTAGCACTGACTGGCCACACCAGAGAAAAGGGGTAAGACAAAACCAAACAAACCCCATATTTCATTAGTTTTGGTCAAATCCTTACCTCCCCTAGTCACAAAAGTACATTTTACAAAACACATTTCTCTCCTTCAAAGCTCAACTACTCTGTTATTACTATGTGACATACAGAAAGCATCACTACATTTTTATTTATGTATTTTGTATGTTATTAATCTGTAGCAATGGTCTCTTAAAAACAAGCAAGCAGGTCATCACAGCTACTCCACATTCCCTGATCCCATCAAGTTCTGCAAGAGCAGCCAGAGCTGAACACCACAACTCAGGTTCAGCTGCTGATCAGGGACAGAACTGAAAGTTTTGCAAGTGTTAAAGCAAATAATGGCCTCAGCATTCAGCCTTGCTCTGGAGGAGCTACAGTTACAGGTGAAGAACACTTTGTCTTTGGCATCTTTTGTAAATTAAAGCTCTCCTGTGATGAAGATTGGTCTCTCCAGACCATGGGAATGAAGTTGTTCACTTCTGATCCTGTGCCTTTTTTCCCCATTTGTAGTTACTGCACAGAACCATCCTAGCACAGATTCAACACCAAGCTGTAAATGAAGTGTTTTATTTACACTTACTGAGCTGAAGGATGAACCAGCTGCTCATCAGATGTTCTACATTCACACTCTTCCATAGCAGAGAAACCATTACCAGCTTCATTGTTTACATCAGCTTTCAAAGGCTTAGAACTTGGGTCTAAACACTGGCTGTGGTGTGGTGCAACCAATTAAGTGCTTCAGCATCCCCCAGTTTGAACAGAGGGCAGTTAAACAATTCTAAACCTTCTTGTGCACTGTGTGAGTGAAATTCTGACTTTTTCAGATCAACAGTTACAGATCACCTTGGCCACTGGACTGTCAGCTTGGGCACAGAGTGTGGTGGAAGTGAAGCTGTCTGCCACTCTGCTTCTGCTATGTATCCCACTAAACTCCAAATATAATAAGCACTAAATGAAGCCTGCTTTTAATTTCATGCACCATTATTTGGTGAATGCTTAGGCAGAAGCTGTCTCAAGTCATGATACATTAGGTCACAACATCTATATTGAATTTTTAAAAGAGCTGCAAGAGAAAACTTTAAAACTTTACAGGTAAGACTTTAAGAAATGAAATAACTGAGGATACTACAGACCAATAAAATCCCAATGCTTTTGGCATGGAGAAGCATAGGGAGGACCTATACAAATCCTTGTGGAACATCACCATGTTGTGTTTATTCAGGATCACTTCATTCTCCTCTGAAATCCTTTTCTCTGTGTCATGGAGAAGCATAATAATGCTTCCATTGTTTGTTTCCTCTGCTAGAAAACCACAAAGGATACTACAAAGCTTAGAGTGATGCAGCACCAAAGGAAACTCTAATGTACTACAAAGTAACTACAACACTGTGCAATGCCAGTCACAGTCTTGTTACTGCTGAAGTATGAGGCTTCTTCCTCCCCAGCAAGCATAACTAATAATCAGGAAATTAATTTTCTATGATTCTTAGCTGTCCAAAGTCTTGCTCAGAAGAGAGGATTTTGACACTACATTTCTAGAAGAGAAAGTGTCAGCATTATTCTTTGGCTATTACCTTGCTGCAGACTTGGCTCAACTGAAGTGCAGTTTAAAAATGCAAGAATAGAGAAACAGATCTCTGCTAAGGAAAGAACAAATATCACATTCCAACTATGTCTTTCAGCTCATTATTCTCTAATACTTCATAAGAAGTTCTAAAGCATCATTGGTAATGCTGCCACTGTTAAAAGCCCAGATTTCCAGCCAATGAGATGACACAAATATTTACTCTAAGTCTACATTAGAGTCTACAAACACAAACTTGGCTGCATTTGAAAGGAATGATGAGTAACAAAATCCTCCCTTCTTCTGTCTGGAAGGTACTTGTGTTTACAGAACACCATTCTTTAACTGTGAACCAAGCCTTCTGCACTCTTTGACTAAAGATATGGCGCCCATTCCATTTACAAAAAGTCTCTATTTCATTTCTCTCACCTCTGATTCAACCAGCAGTTGCACATTCTCCACAGTAAGCTGGCTCTGAGAAAGGATGAGAGAAGCACATCTGACATGAGTTTGCTCATCACCTGCTGTTTAAACAGCACTCACTGTCTAAGCCAGGCATTCCCTAGCTGGAAGGATTCCCAGGACTCTGCAGAGACTCAGAGTCCTGTAAACAGGAAGCACCAATCTGATGGCAACTGCCAAAATCAGCTGTTCATCCCTGTGATACAACTAACACACATTTTGACTTCTGATAAAACATTCTAGCTCAGCTTTGTTAAAGGCTGGGGTTTTTTTTTCCCCAATGCCTTGGTCCATTATAATTCTGGTGACATTTTGACAAGACCACAAAGCAGGGCTCTAAGGAAGGCAAGGGAAGCATCCATGCCATCAGCAAGGAGTCTATTGCCCCATTTTATCCTCATGTTTCACTGTAAGAAATTCTGCACCCTACCACACATCCTGTGCTATCAACTAGCACAGAAAAAGCCACAGCAAAAAAACTATTTAGTATAAACCTACTGGTTTTAAGTGTAATGCATGTTTTTAACTGTTTCACTGTATTTGCCACATGTAACTTTGCATTCCATCTCCAGCATTGCCAAGATGACAGAAATTTCTCTACCAGCTACAAACTCAATACTATGTCACATGTAACCAGCAAGATGTAGCTGGATTTTGATGTTTTCCTCCATCAGTCTTCATTCACAGGACAGCAGAGCACAAACTAGATTTTATGTTTTCTAATCCAAGCACTTCACCTACACAAAAAACAAAGGTGGAAGTATCTTTTTTTCCCATATCAGCACTGCCCAGAGTATAACTGAGATACTACTGAGTATAACTGAGCATACTACACAGTCCTGCTGTCAGGCAGCAGAAACTTGCAGTGTTAAGTTTCTGAAAATACAAGCCAGACCTGTCCTGATTTAAAACTTTAAAAAGGAATTACAAAGCATTTATATAAATGTTATATAAGCTTTTTTTTTCCAAATTTTCTTTTCATGAAGAGCATTAATTTAATCCTGTCTCTCACTCTTTTCACTTTCTGCTGTTTAGCAGAGTTTAGTGTTTTCCCAAGGCAGTAACACACCACACTGATATCCTGGTACCTCTGTCTGTGCAGCTCCTCTTTTCTCTACAATTGGTAGTTCAGATGTAATAAATTCTTCAGCAACATTTAATAGGCTCTTATCTCCAACAGAAACATTTTCACATTTCCACTAAAGAACACAATGCATACATCACATAGGAGCCAGTTAACATTTTATATGCAAAGCAGTGGCAAAATACATTTGCTTTAAACAGCAAAATGAGAATTGTGTTTTTTGCTAACCATTACCAAACTTAACAAGAAAACCCAGAACACTCAAAGCAACTCAAAGAAGGCACCTTGAACTAAAACAATTTAAATTTTGGGCTTTTATCAGCCAGTCTCTATGAATTACTTCATCAGTAGCTTTACATCTTGTATGTGTACATGCATTAATATGAAATTGCAGAAGGCCACATACAATTTGGGCTTGCTTTTAGCACTCTTAGAACAAACAGTAGAATAAATTTTAAGAGCATGGACTAAAATTTGACTTTCCTAACGTTAGGCCACTTCCATACAACATCTGCAAAGCAGGTGACAAATTAGCAAAGCTATCACAAGCATCCTTCCTAAAGGCTTCTTTTGGGTACACAAACTCCTAATTTTGTGCCACTATGCACTGGAATGAGAGATTATATAAATAATTATTTATTTAAATTTTATTATTTAAATATAAAAAGCTACATTTCTTCTGCTTGGATCTTTTTGGGGAACACAGAGTGTTCTGCACTCTTACAATACCTAGAAGTGACCACAGTAGAGCAGCAGATTATCAAGTGCAGTCTCCAATGCAAAGGTGACTTCCCTTCAAACAGTCAAATGTCAGAAGCAGAATCTAACCTGGATTCAACACTAGAAAAGAAATCAAGAAGCTGCAATGCACTGCTTGCCAAGACCATTAGTCCCTGGGACCCCAAAAGGTGTGTGTACATGCCCCTCTTTCAGGTCTAATTAAAGTATCACACAACAAGCTTTGGCAGCACAGTGTACAAGTATTATGTTGTCCATAAGAAATTTTCAAGATGAAAATTGTCTGTGGATTCTAAAGCTTGAAAAATTTTGAGGGGTTATAAAAACACTGCAAGTCAACATGCACACCAGAAGCTTCACTGGAATTTTCAAAAGGGCAAGATTTTATGGTTATTTTAAAAATCCACTTTCATATTTTGCTTATGATTTTAGGAAAGAAAAAAAGAGATATATTTATAAGAAATTGAAAATATATTACACAATTCTCTTAAATCAAATAAAAAATTGTTTTTTTAACAAAGTATATTTCACTTTTCCAAGATATTAATTTTATTATGTAAATAGCAAACCAGAATCTGTCTGTGCAAAGCATTTAATTAAAACAAGAAATGGTTTTGAGGTCTACTATTTTTAAAAGGGTTAAACATGTTGAATAATTTTACTAATACTCCTAACTCATCAATTCTAAAATATGCAATTGTACACCACAGCCCATGATTCAGACAGGAAATTCTTTCTTCAAACCTCTCCGGGTATTCTATGACTCACATAACAATTGAGGTATTTCCAAGGGTTTTCCTTTAAATATCCTAATATATTCTTCTGTAGTTTAACATTTTTCAGATGTAACACAAGACTAAATCTGAAGCCAACTGCAACACAAGGCTTCAAGAGCAATCACAAGAATAAATATCTCTGATAGAGTTACTTGCATTTTCAAGTAACTTGCATTTAGGCAATTTGGGCCATATACTTACCAATAAACTTGTTTTGCATAGTCTCTAGGAGAGCTTGGTGGGCATCCTCTGTTTGCAAAGCACATGAACATTCTCTGGCCAGTATGGTCCTGACAAGGTGCTCTCCACAACCTAAAGAAATATCAAGATTAGTCAAAATACAGATATCACTTTGAAGAAACCCTGTCATTAATTTATATCATCACATTCATTTGGCTGTGATGATGCAAAATAATGACTCTTCCTTCACAGTGATGCAAATGACAAGTTTCTGCCACACATTTTTATCTTTTAAAAAGGTTGACATGAAGTCACGCAAAAATTCAAGTAAGTCAGTGGTTTTCTCACAACTTTCCTAAAATTTTAACTCCACAAAGTCATAAACTAAACAAAAATTAAACAAAAATTACAGAAAGAAGAAACAGCAACACTGTCTCTGACTTAGCATCCTCTTACTAATCATTCTCCTGGGAATGATCCTTGCATACAACTCTCCAAACCAAGAACAACTTCAGTGACACAGAAACTCCTTTTGCATGACAGAATATTCTACTTAGTCCATCTGATTCAGCCTTTTTCAACAAAGGAATACAAGAATTCAGCCACACTTTTTTGCCAAAGTGGCTGGTCACTGGACTCCTAATACAGATTCCTGTAATTTTTAAAGGTTTGTCCTTAAGAAATTAAAAAGCTTCTGCAAACAATAATTTATTGCCTCAGTGTTTTATGTACCTGTCCCCTGAAACCTATTTTTGGTGAAGCCAAGCAGGTCATTACTGCTACTCTTGTTCTGTAGGAACACTTTCACACCTGCTATTTTTTCTCCTACACCCTTTTCCCTTCCTGTACTGTGCTTTGGGACATACAGCTGCAGCCAAATGGCACCATGGATGTTTACTGGGGCTGTTGGACAGAAAATTCACTGCTGATACCTTCTCCATATAGACCAAGGCCATGACACTACCTATGCCTCCTGTTTGTTGACATTTTTCATTAATGGCAGGGAAACAGACAAAGCAGCCAGAAGAGGTTTAACCAAGAGCCAGGTGAACTGTGTTATCCAGTTAGGAAAGAAAAAAACACAACTAACACAGAGTTGTAAAGTAACAATGATCTCAAATTATCTAAATCTAAGTGACTACATTTTGATCAGATTTGTAACTTATCAGGACCAAAAACTGCATTAGACACCAGAATATACAGAGAGAAGTCAGACACAGCCCATTCACAATTATATATAAATATTTTTAGCATATTTCTCATTTAATTCAACAAGATGATGCAAGCACTAGAATCATAAAAAAAATCTGCTATAATACAGTTGGACTTATTAGCTCAGGTATAGAACTACATAAATACACCTACACAGCCTCCAGAAACAAATTTATGGCTGGAAACAATTTAGTTGCTTCCAAGTGGCAGGGAGCTGGAGCTGGTAAGACATCAGACCTAGGCTGGCTTCAGACAAAGGCAGTTCAGTCTCCACGGGTAACTCACACTTTACTGGAAGCACTAACAAGCCCAGAACAGAGACACTGGCTGAAGCCAGCCTAGATGTGGCATAAAGAAAAATTGAATAATTAAACCCAACCCAAAGTGGCTCCAGAGCAGCCAGCTGAGTCTCTCATCCCTGTGCATATGCTGAGTTTAGAGCACTGACTGCTGTGGGTACAGCAGGGCACAAACACGTTGGCAGGTCTGGCACTGTGTGTTGCAGTGACTCACAGACTGGTTTCTAGTTCTTTTCATCATTTTAAACCCTAACATGGCAACCTACTCCAAGAATCTCCCTCTCTGGCTGCTTGACACACAATTATACCCTTCCCCTTAAATGCACAGTGAGTTTCCACTGTTCTTCAAAGATTGCTAGTACAGAAGGGAAAAAAAATTACCCCCCTCATTTTCAAGATTAAACAAAACCTCAAACCCCTTCCCCCCCAAAAAAACCCTCCAAAAAACAAAAAAAAAAGTAAATAAACACACACACAAACCAAACAAACAAAACCAAACAACACCCTCTGGAACACTATGGATGCATTAGATGATTAGATGTCAGAAAATCAGCCCAGAGACCAGATTGCTGAAAAACTGTGTGTACATGTCCCAAAATCCTGCTATGTTCAATCTTCACAAAAATACCTTGGTCTTCAGTTATGTGTCCCTGCTAATGGGAAGTGTCTCCTGATTAATGCAATTCAGCTAAACTGAGTTGTTTGAAGTGGGACACTTTGGCATTGAATCTACATACAACTGGCACAAGAGAAACACAAAAAATGCTTTGTATAGCAAACAGACTGAGTAAAATCCAGTTACAAATTTAGAGGAAAATGAAAGAGCCAAAATACTACAACAATTACACAGCCAAGGGAAGTTGTTCTTGAAAGCACAAGGGAGAAAGTGTTTTCATTGAGACTGACAAGTTCTCAAGTTAATGAGAGAGGTGTCCTGGTTAGGGGATAATCTTCAAGAGCTCATGCAATACAGCCATCTCAGCATCTGCTCACAGAAGGGTCTGTCTCTTCATTTGCCTCATTATACCCACACTCTGAAGCTTCTGTCCACAATAGAACTGTGAGTTATCTACTATTTATTTACAAGTGATGGATGAAGAACAGGAAAAAATCCCCACAAGATGCATTCTATCCATAGATCACAATATGGACATCACTCTTTTAAAACTGGGAAACTTTAATCGCTATGAAGCCTTGCTATAAAGAATAAAAATAAAATTAAACAGGCAGTTGCTCTGGAAAAACCTGAGAAAGCTGGTTTTTTCTTGAAAAAACCTGTTAGTACCTTTAAAATATAACATGTAACACCTTTAAATATAACTATATAAATAAGAAGCAGGAGACTTAAAAGAGGAATCAAACAAATGAGACACAGAACTCAGAGTGAGCCTATATATCTTCAGTGCATCAAGTAATCAAACCAGATGTTACTACTTCATAATTTTCAAGTATTTCCTAAATTGGAATTAAAAAAACCAACAATGGCCATTTTTTAGCATGACGTACAATGTTATTTCCCCCCCAGGAGAATGACTTTATTGAAGAGTTCCCATAACATCAAGTCTCCTCCAAAAAAAATTCAGAGAGAGAAAACTTAATATGGGTTAAGAACAGCTGCAGCCCACATCCCCATCCAGGATCAACCACAAGGAAAGCAGCTTTGAAATTCTACTAACACATCACACATCTCTACATCCCCACAGACAAAGTCATTTCTTTTTGTCATATTTATGTCAACCTATAAGGCAACAAACTTACAGCCTGCTGCTGGCAGTGTACGTAAAAATCTTTCAGCACATCACTTGCTGGCAGTCTGCAGGGACAGATAACTAAGGAAAACAATTTCCCCATTTGCAAAAGAAAAATTTGTTACTGTAGTTTTTGATGTAGGAACATCTATTTTTGAAGAAGGAGAAAAAAAAATCTAAGTAGTGTGTCACATACTTTGACCAGATACAGGCTAAGAAAAAGAATTGCACTTTCTATTATCCAAACCAAACTTCTTGCAAATTTAGCAGATCTGTATGTCTGTATAGCCTCAAACTGGGGACACACTGTAGATAATACTAGGATTAGGCACAAAATGCATACATTACCAGAGCAATCACAACTGATTTGTAACTTACAATATGAAGTTGTGGGTTCAAATTTATAGTTCCAGTCACTTTAGTCTAACCACCAGCATTAGCCAACTTCCAAAAAAGTTGTAGTAACATGACTCAAGAGAGCAACTCCAGTGAAAGCTACTTAAACTCATTTCCAAATCATGCACACAAGTTGATGAAAATGTAAATCTGATTAATGTGCTTAACTATCTCCCATTACACTACATTTAACTGCAAGTGTTAATACATTTGGCATTTATTTCACTGAATAGTACTACCAAGTACAACCAAACCAAGAGGGACTCCCACTAAGAATTTTCCAATTCTACATTAAAGTCTCAAATACATTTGTTTTAGTAACTTTCCTGTAAACAGAGTTAAAATCATTTTATTATCCTTTCCTAGTTATGATGATGACTTCTTCAGTATCCTGAAGCTCATTATATTTCAGAGATGGATATTTTGCAATGACAGACAAATGCTTCCCTAAGATTTCACACATGAGTGACTCAAATGCAGATGACTAGCTGGAAAAATTTACTGGGATAAATTACAGCTTCACATTGAAATAACTTTCATATAGTAAACCAATTACTTTCCTAACACAGTAATATTCTGCAAACACCATGTTGCCTACTTGTAACTCCTCTGCTGACAAAAAAACTCCTGTTGGAACTGCTGTTGTCCATGTTTGCAGGGCTAAGTACAATTAACTGCCTTCCTCTAGGATTGCTTCTGGCAAAGGCAAAAACACTTCTACAGAAAACAGAGAGTTTATTGAGACTATTTTGATAAATCAGGCCTGACAAATTTGGTGACCTCCTACAATGAGGTTACAGCATTACTATGAGGGTGGTGAGATACTGGAACTGGTTGCCCAGGAAGTTCTGAATGTGCCATCCCTGGAAGTGTTCATGGCCAAGCTGGAAGGAGCTCTGAGGAATCAGTTCTAGTGGAAGGTGTTCCTGCCCACTGCAGGAACTTTAAAGTCTGATCTTTAAGGTCCTTCCCAACCCAAACCACTTGAAGATCCTACAAAAAATAAACAGAAACAGACAGATATTTTGATGCAAGTTTCTAGCCTCCTAGATTAAGGGGAGAGAATATACAGATTCCTAAATGCTCCAGGCATTGATGGCAACAGATTCCTATGACAAGGGAAGGAAAGAAGAATGAGGCTTAATAGCCACAACATCTTTATTTTGTAAACAAACTACAAACCCAAACGAAATTCTAAAAGATCTCAGAAAACCTGCCTTCAACCAGAAGCTTCTATTCCTGCCTGAAAATTACTTGAAGATTATCTACAAAATCCCTTGAAGATCGTACAGAAACACCAACACTGATTTTGAGAGACACGTATCTTGGATTATGCCACAATACAGTTTTAATGCAGTGTTTCTTTCAAGTGCCAGGCAGACAAACAGTGAAACAGAACTGCCCTTTTCTGTGGCTATTGAAATGTGTAATTTCTGATAATAATACACTTTTACCTCCAATCCAAATACTCCTCATT